GAAATCTGAAAACTAACCTTAGTAGCAGCCTCATTTTTTAAGTTTACTTTCTTTTTTAAAAGTTATTTATTTCTAGTTTTCAACATTCACTTCCACAAGATTTTGAGTTCCAAATTTTCTCCCCATATCTCCCCTCCCCATACCCCAAGACAGCAGGAATTCTGAATACCCCTTCCCCTTGATCTGCCCTCCCTTCTATCACCCTTCCTCCCTTCTCTTATACTCTTCCTCTTCTATTTTCCTGCAGGAAAGGATAGATTTCTATCCCCCATTGCCTGTTTATCTTATTTCCCAGTTGCATGTGAAAACAATTTTTAACATTTGATTTTAAAACTCTGAATTCCAAATTTTCTCCCTTCCTCTCTCCCCACCCACTGAGAAGGCAAGCAACTCAATACAGGTTATACATGTGTAATCACGCAAAACACTTCCATAATAGCCATGTTGTGAAAAACTAACAGCATTTCCCTTCATCCTATCCCATCCCCATTTATTCTATTCTCTCCTTTGACCCTGTACCTCCTCAAAAATGTTTTCTTCTGATTACCCCCCTCCCCAATCTGCCCTCCCTTCAATCATACCCCCCTTTCTTATCCCCTTCCCCCTTATTTTCCTATAGGGTAAAATAGCTTTCCATACCCAATTAAGTGTGTATTTTAGTCCCTCCTTAAGCCAAAGCTGATGACAGTATGATTCATTCATTCTCTCTCACTTCCCCCATTTTCCCCTCCATGGTAAAAGCTTCTTCTTCCTTCTTTTATGTGAGATATTTTACCCAATTCTACCTCTCCCTTTCTCCTTCTCCCAGTATAATCATCTCTCTCACCCCTTAATTTTATTTTTTAGATATCATCCCTTCATATTCAACTCACCCTGTACCCCTCTGGCTATATATATATTCCCTCCAACTACCCTAATACTGAGAAAGGTCTCATGAGTTACAAATATCATCTTTCATTGTACGAATGTAGACAGTTCAACTGGTCTTTTTATCAAGAATGCTTGAAAGTCCTCTATCTCACTAAATATCCATTTTTTCCCTTAAAGGATTATACTCAGTTTTGCTGGGTAGGTGATTCTTGATTTTAGTTTTAGCTCCTTTGACCCCTGTAATATCATATTCCAAGCCCTCTAGTCCCTTAATGTAGAAGCTGCTAAATCTTGTGTTATCTTGATTGTGTTTCCACAATATGTGAATTGTTGCTTTCTGACTGCTTGCAGTATTTTCTCCTTGACCTGCGAACTCTGGAATTTGGCTATGATAGTCCTAGGAGTTTTCCTTTGGGGATCTCTTTCAGGAGGTGGTTTGTGTATTCTTGGTTCTAGATTATCCAGGCAGTTTTCCTTGATAATTTCTTGAAAGATCATGTCTAGGCTCTTTTTTTTTTGTGGCTTTCAGGTAGTCCAATAATTTTTAAATTATCTCTCTTGGATCTATTTTCCAGGTCAGTTGTTTTTCCAATGAGATATTTCACATTGTCTTCTATTTTTGATTCTCTTGGTTTTGTTTCTATTGTTTCTTGATTTCTCATAAAGTCATTAGCTAAGCTTCCACTTACTCCACTTTGTTTTTATTTTTATTTTTTTTAAGAATCTGACCATCTTTTTTTATTTTATTAATTTATTTTGATTTATCAACAATCACCTCCATATGCTTTTGAGTTGAAAATTTTTCTCCCCTTTCCTCCCCCCACCCTCCCCAAGACAGTGCACAATCTGATATAGGCTTTACATTTATATACCCATTAAACATATTTTCACATTAGTGAAGTTATAAATAAAAATTAAAACCAATAGGAGGAACCATCAGAAAGATGAAACAAAACTCAACAGAAGGTAAAAATACGTGATAGCGATTCAACTTCCATAGTTCTTTCTTTGGATGTGGACAGCACTTTCCATCCCAAGGCCCCTGGAGATATCTTAGATCCTCATAATGCTGAGAAGGGTTCAGTTTAACAATCTTAGTCATCGCATAATGTGGCTGTTATTGTGTACAACGTCCTCTTGGTTCTGCTTACTTCACTCAGCACCAGACCATATAGGTCTTTCCAGGTTTTTCTGAAGTCAGCCTGTTCATCATTTCTTATAGCACAATAGTATTCCATTACATTCATATACCACAACTTGCTCAGCCATTCCGCAATTGATGGGCATCCTCTCAATTTCCAGTTCTTTGCCACCACAAAAAGAGCTGCTATGAATATTTTTGTACATGTGGGTCCTTTCCCCATTTGTTTGATCTCTTTGGGATATAGCCCTAGAAGTGCTATTGCTGGATCAAAGGGTATGCACATTTTTGTAGCCCTTTGGGCATAGTTCCAAATTGTTCTCCAAAATGGTTGGATCATTTCACAACTCCACCAACAATGTATTAGTGTTCCAATTTTCCCACATCTTCCAACATTTATCATTTTCCTGTTTTGTCATGTTGGCCAATCTGATAGGTGTGGTACCTCAGAGTTGTTTTGATTTGCATTTCTCTAATCAATAACGATTTAGAGCATTTTTTCATATGACTATAGATGGCTTTAATTTCTTCATCTGAGAACTGTCTGTTCATATCCTTTGACCATTTATCAATTGGGGAATGGCTTGTGTTCTTATAAATTTGTCTTAATTCTCTATATATTTTAGAAATGAGGCCTTTATCAGAGAGACTGGTTGTAAAAATTCTTTCCCAATTTTCTACCTTCCTTCTAATCTTAGTTGCATTGGCTTTGTTTGTGCAAAAACTTTTCAATTTAATGTAATCAAAATTATCCATTTTGCTTTTCATAATGTTCTCTATCTCCTGTTTGGTCATGAATTCTTCTGTTCTCCATAGATCTGATAGGTAAACTATTCCTTGTTCTCCCAGTTTACTTATGGTATCAGCCTTTATATCTAAGTCATGAACCCATTTGGACTTTATTTTGGTATATGGTGTGAGATTTGGATCTATGCCTAGTTTCTGCCATACTCTTTTCCAGTTTTCCCAGCAGTTTTTTTTTCAAAGAGTGGGTTCTTATCCCAGAAGCTGGGGTCTTTGGGTTTATCAAATAATAGATTACTATAGTCATTGACTACTGTGTCTTGCATATTTAACCTATTCCACTGATCCACCTCCCTATTTCTCAGCCAGTACCAAGCAGTTTTGATGATTGTTGCTTTTCCATTCTGTTTTTAAGAAGTATTTTCTTCAGTGAGCTTTTGGACTTTTTCTTTCCATTTTGCCAATTTTGCTTTTTAAGGCATTCTTCATCTCACTGGATTTTTGGACCTCTTTTGCCATTTGGGTTAGTCTATTTTTTAAGATGTTATTTTCTTCAGTATTTTTTAGGGTTTTCTTTAGCAAGCTGTTGACTTGTTTTTCATGATTTTCTTGCATCACTCTCATTTCTTTTCCCAGTTTTTCCCTCTACTTCTCTTACTTGCTTCTCAAAATCCTTTTTGAGCTCTTTCATGGCCTGGGACTGATTCTTATTTTTCTTGGAGGCTTTGGATGTAAGAGCTTTGGCTTTGTTGTCTTCTTCTGGTTGCATGTTTTCATCTTCTTTGTCACCAAAGTAAGACTTTTTTGTGCTATTTGCTCCTGTTCCCAGCCAATTACTTGAGTTTTAAACTCTTTATTAAGGTAGGCGTCTACTTCCAGTGTGGAGAATATACTGTCCCAAGCTTTGGGGGGTTTGTGTAGATGTTTTCAGAGATACTTCTAGGGACCTGTAAATTTTCTTCCAAGGTGGTACAATCAAGGGTGAGATGTTTACTCTTTTCCTGGCCTGTGCCCTGGTCTATCAGTGACCACAAGCACTCTTTTCCGCCTTGGAACTGTGAAAAGGATTCTATCTGCACTACCACCACAAACTCCACCACACCAATGCTCCTTCTTGCCCCAGAACCACCATCCAGGACTGTGAGACCCAGATTCAAGCATGAGCAAAGCAAGAGAATCCTGCCTCAGCACTAGCAAAGAGATCCCTGAAATCTCCCTCTAATCAGCCACTTGATCCCTGACTGTCTTCAGGATAAGAGCTTGGGAAGCAGCCTCCACCCCAGGGCTGCACCAGGACTGGGGCTGCACCACGCTCCTCTCTCAAAGGTCCACCAGACCTTTCCTACTGACCTTCTAAGTTGTTTTTGGCATTTGTGGGTTGAGAAGTCTGGAAATCTCAACAATTGCTAGTGATTCAGTCCCCTTAGGCCTACTCCAGGTTTGCTGATACCTGGTCTTTGCCTGTGTGGCCCACGCTGAACTGTGCTTCTCACCCAGCCCAGCACAGTAGACCTTTCCCATCAACCATCCAGGCTGTCTTAAGCTGGAAATTTGTTTCACTTTGTCTTTTGATGGGTTCTCCTACTCTAGAATTTATTGAGAGCCATTTTTTAACAGGTATTTGGAAGGGTTTGGGGGAGAGCTCAAGCAAGTCACTGCTTTTACTCCACCATGTTAGCTCCACTCCACACCTCCTGAGTTTACTTTCTTGAAAAACTATTGTTCCCTACTGAGATTTTTTCAACAATTTGGATGCTTTAATTTGTATTTCATTGGGGTCCAATTTGCTTAAGTCAGGATGTTTTGATTCGAAATGACAATGAAGATTGTATTCCTTCAGAATGGCTATTACTGGGGGAAGCTACGTGGTGCAGTGGATAAAGCACCAGCCCTGAAGTCAGGAGGACATGAGTTCAAATCTAGCCTCAGACCAACACTTGAAACTTACTAGCTCTGTGACCCTGGGCAAGTCACTTAACCCAAACTGCCTAAAACAAAACAAAACAACAACAAAAAAGAATGGCTATTACTCCTAGGCAAACAAGGCACAATATTTTGTCTCTCATATAAATAAACAAGTATCTATTTGTCCACTCCAGATTAAACATTCTGTGTTCTGATTTGATCTTCCATTTCTTTTTGTCATCCATTTTACAAAGTCACCCCAAAAACTTTAATGTCAGCACCAAAAAAATCTCCACAGCAACTGCTCACATGCAAAGAAATACTGAACTGAGTTTCTTACCTTGGAGAGAGAGCCAGACACTCCTGTAACTTGGAGGGGAGCTACGCAGAGAGAGAGGGGAAGAAACCCTTGTGTTGTTGCCACTCGTAGCATGACACATGGCTGCACTCACTTTGCTCCTGTTCGATGCCAGTAATAACTGAAAACACAGCAAAAAGATATGACTCTTACTCTTCTCACACTAGAGAGAGACTGATGATGGTTGGTTGCTGCAGGTCAAATGACAAACAGGAGAGAGTGTGCAGTGGCAACCCACCCATCAAGTTCCATGACGGACGTAATAGTGACTAGTGGGGGCACAATAGTGACTAGTAGAAGGCAGGTTAAGAGGGCATGGACAAAGCACTCATTACATCTTTACTTTCTTTTATATCCTCTACATTTTTTGTAGGCCAACCAAAATCCTTTGGCAGACCGCAAGTGGCCTGAGGGTCATATGTCGTACAGGCCTGATCTAGACTATTGCAGTAGCTTCTTGATTGATGTCCCTGCTTCAAGGCCCTTCCCTCTACAACCCAGTCTTCACATAGCTGACAAACTGATTTTTCTAAAGTGCAAGTCTACTCATGTCACTCTACTGCTCAATAAACTCCAGCGACTCCCTATGACCTCAAGTAACTAATATAAATTACTATTTTTAGCATTTAAAGTCCATTACAACCTGGCTGCAATTATCTTTCCAGCTTTATTGCATAAGAATCTACTTCCCAAACTTTGTGGTCCAACCAGACTGATGTTATTATTGTTCCTAATGCAAGCTTCTCCATTTAGATGAACTCTATGCTTATAAAACAAAATCTCCTCCCTTCTGTTTCTCAGAATCCCTAATTTCCTTCTTGATTCTACTCAAGCACTACCTTCTACATGAAAGAGGTTTCTCCTATACCTTCCATCTGTTATGTCCTTCCCCTTCCAATCACCTTCTAAGTATTTAGTATGAACCTATATACGTACATGTTGCCTCACCTAGTTATCTTGTAAGCTTTTGGGAGCAGGGACTATTGCATTTCTGTCTTTTCATCCCTAACATCTAGTACAGTGACAGACACATACAATCACTCAATTAATCCTTGTTGATTTATTGATTGATCAGACTATTGAAACAAAATCAAAGATTCACTCTATATCACTAACAAGCCATGAATCATCCAATTCCTTTCAAAGATCATGGTGTAAAACCAAGTTTTATGGCTACTGAACAATGATGTTTCTACTACCACTACTGATATAAAACATAATATAATACTGACAATAGACAGGCTGATGAAATTATATTTCTTCCCTTTGTTATTCCTTATTTCCTCTCTACCATCAGCATTATTCCCCACCCTTCTTTGCTTGATGTACTAAATAACCTTCCTCCTAAAGGCCATTGAGGATGAAGTCAGCATTATATATAGTAGTAAAACTGTTTGGTTCAGTGAACTGTAAATTATTTGCCTTTCAGAAAAGGCATAAATATGAAAGCTCTATGAAATCATTGCCATAGATGTCCAGGGAACTTGAGTGAGTATGGGAAACCTGTACACAATTAGAATTCTTGATTCTGGACTACCTAGTATTTTAATTACATTTTAAAGCTTACCTCTCAGAAACAAGAAAAAAGCATCATACATATATTTGTTGACACAGAAACTGGTTCACTAATTTTGATAGGATTGACTAATCAGTTTACTTAAATAACTAGCTAGCAACTGGTAAGTTCCACCAAGGCAGGCTTACTTTTATAGAGAGAGACACCAGAAAGTCATTTTGACCACAAATTTATCAGCTATTTGACTATAAGATTTCCATCTTGGTTTACACTGTAATTTCATTATTGTTTTGTGTGTATGAGTATTTTCCCTTGGTGGCTTTTCTGGTTTTATGTGTCTCTGAGTACACATTTAATTTCTGATAAAAAAAATAATTGTACAATTTTGGTTCAAATGAAATCAAGCTCACAAATAAAAGTTGAAAGAGGCTCAGATGCAAAATAGCTAATCTGAAAATTTTCCGGGGGGAATTCAGTGAACAATATTAGTAGACAGTTTTGCACATCAGTCAAAAAAGCTAACTACCTTATTCTGGGTTAATAAAGGCATAATGCTCAGGACTATGTTTGTTGAAATGAAGTGAAGTGAATTGGATTGACAAGGGAGATGATATTCCTGTTGGACTCTTTCCTGATCAGATCATATCTGAAGTACTGCACTCAATTCTTAGTGCTACATTGTAGGCAGTACCTTGGCAAGCTGAAAAGCAACCAGAAGAAAGTGACTAGGATGGTTAATGGTTATTTAAAATGAGACAGAGAGAGAGATATGTTGAGTTATATACTTATTAGGTTTATAGTTGTCATTAAAACACAAAAATAATAGACCCTGTGGTGTAGTCAAATAAATATCTGATGTAGAAAGTAGAAACTTTTGGAAATATGGAAAATTTTAATAAACATATGCCTAGAAATTGGGAGGGAGAACAAATAGAAAGCTTTCATAGCATAGCAACATCAGCACACTACCTATTTTCTAACGAGGTATAGATTCTTAAAAAGAAAACAACATTAGGGAAGTGGTCGAAAACCCAAAAAGGTCACCAGAGCTATTGCTGTTATGAGGCTTCTGAAAAGAGCATGACTGAATACTGGAGAGTGGGAAGTTTCAGCCCTCAAAGTGAGAATTGGCCCAGTATGATGAGGAAAGAGAAGAAAGTTCCTATTGAGATTGTAGAGCTAAAGCAAGTGTTTCCTAGTTTGGATTAGATATTCAGCTGATGTAGATTTAGTACTCTCAAGGCAGATGTATCCACCTCTCTATCCTGACAGCTTCCAGATGAAGGCAACATTGCTTGGGCAGAAAGAGAAATATGATCCTCTCACTCTCCTTTTCCCTCCCTCTCTTCCTCTACCTATTCCTTCCTACCTTATCCTTTCCCCTCTCTCTTCCTCATCCCTTCTGTCTCTCTCTCTCTCTCTCTCTCTCTCTCTCTCTCTCTCTCTCTCTCTCTCTCTCTCCTCTCTCTCTCCCCCCTGTGTGTCTCTGTCCCCTATCCTCCTAACCTTCTCCCCCCTTCTCCATATATTCAGTTAAACAATAAAGTGGATTTTGTCATCCATGTAGTGAATCTCTTTCCCCCAAGGCTACCCTATAAGTAATTTCATACATGGTAGATTTGAGGGACAAAGAACAGATCAAACAAAAAAGACTTTCATACCATTTATATCATAATTTCTCTCTGTCTTTGTCTCTTTGTTTCTCTGTGTTCTCTTTCTCTCTGTATTTCTTCTCTCTCTTTTTCTTCTCTGTCTCTTTCTCTGTTTCTCTTTGTCTCTGAGAGACAGAGAGAGAGAGAGACAGAGACAGAGAGAGAGAGACAGAGAGAGAGACAGAGACAGAAACAGGGACAGACAGAGAGAAAAGACATATCCTTCATCTCTTGATAACTCCTTGGTCAATTTGGATGCTGTGAAAAAGGAGAGAATCAAGTGGCACTACAGGGAGAATTCTGAGTTAAAGCAATAAAAGTACAGGCTATAGAAACCCTGGCCATTGTAAAGTTAAAATCATTTGGGTGCTGTTAATGATTTATTTACTAGTGCACCTAGGAGATCCAGGAAGTCTGTTTCCCTACCTCTCTCACAGGCTTTCAAGTTAAGCATAACATTCTTCTAACCCTGTGAGTTGGTGCTTTTTATTTTGTTTTTCTGATTAAGATATTTCACATCCTCTGGCTTTACTTTAAAGCATGATTTCAGACTTCTCTTTTTCTGGTTAAATTCTCTCATTTAAGCATAGGAACGGACTTTTTTTTCCTCTTCAGAGAAACACATTTCCCTAGACACGAAAGGGAGAATTTAAAAATTAACTCTGAAACAAAATAGTGCTAGTGTGTTTGACCTTCCCTGAGGTTTAGTTCCTTTTTAATGTTTTTTTTCAGTCATTGTTAATATTCCTTTGTGCATGATATAGGCGAGAAAGTTATAACCTGGTGATTTTTGTAAATGGTCTGTGCTATCCAGAATAGAACTCATATACTTTTCCTTACTTTTTTTCTTTGCCTTTTACTTTATTCTTTACCTTCTCTCTACTCTGAATGGCACTGTCTGTCCCTCTGCTCCTATTTAAGTAAGGGAATTATAAGAAAAGTCAAGTATAGTCCAACCTAGAAGTCATCTTGGAGATAATTAATTCAGCCATCTCATTTTCCAATGAAGAAACTGAAGTCACTTTTACACATTCTCCTTAGTCCACATCAATCACCAACAATCAATTATCCTTTGGAGCTGAGGTCAATATAATATAAATCAGTGATTATCAAAATTGTTATTGATTAAAAAAAAGAAAGAAAAGAAAACTATTTCAGGAAAATAGACCAAATAAGTCCTAGAAAGAATCAAACATGGTAATCTGGTGTTTGATAAACCAAAGAGCATAAACAACTCCCTGTTCTGAAAACTGGAAAGTTGTTTGACAAAAAGCAAGTTTATACTGTCCTCTTACCACCATATGCCACAATATCTTCAAAACAGATAAGCAACTTATATATAAAAAATCAAATCATTAAAAAATTAGGGGGAAATGGAAGAAGGTGACTTACACAAGCATACCTGGAGAAACATTCTTAACCAAATAGGGAAGAAAGGTGACCATTAAAAAATAATAATAAAGATTTCAATTCAATAAAATTAAAAAGCTTTTTTTTTTATCAAAAAACAAAAATAAAAAAGTAGTGCAGTTAGAATAAAAAGAGAAACTGATACTTGGAGAAAATATTTGCACCAGAGCACTGGATTTGGAGTGACGAAGACATAGGTTCAAACCCCTCTTCTGACACATACTGTGTGACCCTGGGCAAGTTACTTAACCTCTCAATGCTCTAGGCAACTATGTAAGACCATAAGGTGCAGAGGTGTTAACCTACATAATAGAAGGCATTTCTTCATCTGAATATTTCCTTTACAAATGAAATAAGTCCAATCCCTATTACCTTAAAAAGCCTGATATCCTAAGTAAATAAGAATTTAACAGGAATATCTAAGACCAAGAGTCATTCCCCAATAGATAAGTGATTAAAAGATATTAATTGTTTTAGAAGGATGAGCAAAAAGAGATGAGTTTGAACCTTGTCAGTTCTGAACATTTGTTATGATGGCTTACT